CGGTTTGTAATCTAAAATGACTGCAAATTGCAAATTTCGCAAGGCTATATTTTCCGCATTTTACAACATTTTGCAACGAAACTTTGGAATATTACTAATTTTGTGATGCTCTTTCAAGCTGTAATGAAATTTTTGTTGAGATCAAAATTTAGTCTATTACGCAAATGGTCAATTGACCTTTATCCATATTGCTTAGCCATTCTGTAGTTGCGTCCAAAAGTGCGCTTGTGGTGGAGTGAACTGGCCTAAATCCAGACTGTTTATCATAAATAAGGCCATTTTCATTAAGGTATGCTTGCAACTGGTCATAAACGATTCGTTCAAAGATTTTGCTCACAGCACTTAGAACAGAAATTGGTCTGTAGTTACTTAAAAAATCTTTTGCATCTCCTTTACTAAAGTGGCTTAACTTTTGCAATTTTCCAATCATCTGGAAATACACCAGTTGCTATTGAGCAGTTAAATAAGTTGCATAATGAGTCTGATATCACTGACGCGCACATTTTAACAATTTAGCTGGAATCTCATCAAGACCCATTGCTTTTCCTTCCTGCAATGAAGAGAGTAACTTAAAAACAGTACTAGGTGTTGTCAAATCTAACGTGAAAACCGTATCCGCTTGTTTTAAATAATCACCTAAACAATTATTTAATTCATCCGGTTCATCAGGTTTCAATTTCAACCCAATTTCTGCAAAATGATTATTAAAACACTCTGTTAAGTCAGCTGAGTCACTGATCACTCTATCATTGCACGTAAGATGAGAGATCTCGTCTGACTTAGCATTACGAGACATTAGCTCATTGATTGATTTCCAAATTTCTTTTGGATTTCCCGAATTTGTTTTAAAATATTGATGGTAATAACCGGTTTTTGCTTGTCTAATTTTATTATTGCACGTATTTCTTGCATCTTTGAATTTTTTCAGTATAACCATGGCGAAAGTACGTGAACATTACAGGGTTCCTCGGCTTCGCCGTCTAGTCAAGAACATCAGATCACACTGCAACGGTTGCAAGAGATTCCGGGCCAAAGCCTATCAAGTACCGCCCCCCCCCTGGAAAATAGGGAGCTTAAGCATGTAGGACGGCAACAAGACGACGACGGCAACCAATACAATGAGTCAATGAAAAGAAATAAATAATTAAAGTCCCAGGGGACTTTCAGACGTCGTCGTCGTTCTGTTTACAACGGCAAATCACAGATTTTCACGTCTTTTATACAACGCCTACATTTCAAGCCGTAACAAGTGCAACTTAAAATTCGGTTCAGTAGAACTCTTCCCAAACATAAAGCCAATGTTTTCAGCTTCTTATGCTGTATTAAATTCATACGAATTATAATATACGACAAGTTTTCTTTACCATCATTTATTTGAAGGAATTTGTTTTGGCCGTCGTCGTGGTGTTACCGTCCTACATGCTTAAGCTCGCTATTTACCAACTACGAGAACACAAGGCGCAGTACCATTCGAAGTGATCGGGGTGGACTTTGCCGGACCTATCAAGTACGTAACAATGTCGAAGAAGGAAGCTAAGTCATATCTTGTGCTTTATACGTGTAGTCTAACAAGATATTGTGAGATCGTTGGATACGAAAGAGTTCATCATGAGCCTCAAAAAGTTCATTGCGAGGAGAGGAAGACCAAAGTTAATCTATTCCGATAATGCAATGACATTTAAAGCTGCCGCAAAATGGATTCAACTGGTAAGACAAGATGAGAAACTAAACAGTCTCTTAGCAAACATGTCGATCGAATGGCGTTTCAATTTATGTCGGGCCCCATGGTGGGGACTGAGGACAATTTGAACGTTTAATCGATCGGGTTATTTAAGAGTTCATTCTATAAGTCAATCGGCAATGATATCTTAACGTGGTTGGAAGTCGAAGAAGTCGTGTTAGATATAGAAATAGCGACGAACAATCGCCCCCTGTGTTAATTATACTTAGAGGATGATGTGCAGTTACCTGTGCCCACACCCAATGCTATGCTCCACACCCAACCTACCTACATTCCCGAACTGGAAAAGCACCACATCGAAGAGAAAGATCTCAGAAAGCGAGCCAAACATCTGTTAAAATGCAAACAAACGATGTGGAATCGGTGGACCAGAGAATATGTGCGTGGTCTTCGTGAGCAACACCGAATGACTAGACCAAAATCAATGCAACATCCCAAAGTTGGAGAGATCGTGATTGTAGAGGAAGATCACAAACCAAGAAATACCTGCAAACTTGCCATAGTCAAGCAACTCATCACGGGTAGAGACGGTGTAATACGGACAGCTAAGCTTAAAACTGCTCGGGTGGTAATAATTACCTGGAACGTGCGATACAACACTTAATTGTTCCCGTTAGAGTTACAATGCGATAAAAAGATTAAGCTCGTCTAGATCCAGATGCACAAGAGTTCACACTGCACAAGAGTTCGCCGAAAAGGCGAAAAACAAACTCGGCCAAAATCACAACATTTAAACAAAAAAACTCTTTAAAATGACAGCTAAATACATGAACTCGTACTTAGGATAAGCACACACTAAAGAGGTTGAGAAGATAGGGGTAAATAGCTACAAAGTATTGTTGAATGTCAACGATTCTGCTTGGAATATTAACAAACATTAATTGTGCATAATTATATATTTTAAAAAAGCGCCGTCACTTTCATGCTTAAAACAACGCGCAAAGTTGAGAAAATTTTATCGCATTTGTCAGCAGTTTCCAAGAGTCTTTGTTTGTGTGTATTCCAGAACCAAAATTAGACCATTTTTATAAGCTTTTTCCCTTTAAAT